TGACTCACCAAAAAATTGCTTAGACGTTCATACCATGACCTAGGTGCTTGTTTGAGTCCGTACAGAGCTTTTTTCAATTTATAAACATGATCTGGATGTTGATAATCTTCAAAGCCAGGAGGTTGACACACATACACCTCCTCTTTGATGTATCTATTTAAGAACGCACTTTTTACATCCGTTTGATATAATTTGAATTTCATGAAAGATGCATAGGCTAGTAGAATCCGGATAACTTCCAACCTTGCTACTGGTGCATGTCTCATCATAATCAATTCCTTCTTCTTGACTATATCCTTTTGCAACCAATCTTACCTTATTCTTTGTGATATTTCCCTGATCATCCAGCTTGTTCCTGTACACCCATTTAGCTCCAATAACCTGTATTGACTTCTTTCTTGGTACTAGATCCCAAACTTCATTTCTCTTGAATTGATTTAATTCCTCTTGCATAGCTTGAATCCAGTATTCATCTTGTAAGGTTTCATCAATACTTTTAGGCTCCACTTGTGAAACAAATGCTACATTCATATAGAAGTTATTCATTCTACTTCTTCTTGTAACTCTTTCATCTACATTTCCAATAATATTGTACAGTGAGAGTCATCTTGGTGTACGCCATTCTTTGGGTAGATCTTGAACTGGTTGAGATTCAGAAATAGTGTGTTCTTATAAAGTCCTTCTAAGATCCTCCATTTGGTATTCCTATGATTGAACGTGACTGAACCTGTTTCTTTTCTGCTGCAATATGTTCTTCTTTAATATCTATAGAATCTTTTCTTGACTCAAGAGGGTTCTCCTCAAGGTCCAAAAACTCATCAAACGTTACATGAACATATTCTTCTACATGCAATATTCTCTTATTAAATACCCTATATGATTTTCTTTTTAAAGAATAGCCTAAAAATATTTCTTCATCAGCATTAGAATCAAATTTGCCAAAGTTATTTTTACCATTGTTTAAAACATAACATTTGCAACCAAAAACTTTAAAATGAGAAATATTTGGTTTTCTACCTTTGAAAATTTTATAAGGAGTGAGTTTCAAAATAGGTCTTATTAAAATCCTATTAACACATAACATGCAGTTGACACAGCATCGGCCCAAAAATATTTTGGAAGATTATTTTCATTTAACATTGTTCTAGCTAATTCTTCCAAGGACCTATTTTTCCTCTCAACAACTCCATCTTGTTGTGGTGTTCTTGGGGAAGAAAAATTATGTATTATGCCTAAATCTTCACAAAATTTTTCAAAAAGCTCATTTTGAAATTCACCACCATGATCAATTCTAATTGATTTTATGTTCAAATCTTTCTCATTTTGAAAAAGAGAGTTCTTCCGAAAGCAGTGATGAAGAAGAAGAAGTAAATCTTTGCTTGATGACAAAAAGTGATGATGAAGCCTCATCACAGGTAAGTAGTACAAATTCCTTAAATGAATATGATGAGTTATTTAAAGAATATCAAGATATGTATGAAGGTTTTACCAAGTTATCTAAGAAATACAATGCACTTAGACAAAAGTTTAATACATTAGAAAATACTGTTGGTATTCTTGAAAAAGAAAATGAGTGCTTAAAGAAAGATGTTGAAAAATCTAAAACTTTGTCTAAAAATAAAGAAGTTGTTAAACCTTGTGAAAATTGTAATATTTTGGAAAATGAGATTTTCAAGTTAGAGAAAACAATAAACAATTTTTCAAAATCTTCTGAAAATCTTGATTCGATATTAGGTTATCAAAGAGGAAATTCTAGCAAAGTTGGACTTGGTTACAAACCCAAAGAAAGTCTAGAACCTCATAAAACTATTTTTGTGAAAGATTCAAGGAAAACATATGTGAAACCAGTTTCAAAAACTTTAAGAAACGCATTTAGACCTTTTCAAAGAAAACCAACATGTTTTTATTGCATGAAATTAGGTCATACATCAAATAGATGTCACATAAAATATTTTAGCATATCTAATGGCAAATATGAATGGGTGCCTAAAGGAACAAAACATTTATACATGTCTAGATGATAATTTGAGCATCTAATTGATTATCGGAATCAGAATTTTTTCTTGTTGGCATAATCAATTATATTGAAAGTTTGAATTTTGAAAGTTTGAATTTATGAAAATTTGAAATTATTAAAGTTTGAAATTTTGTAGTTTGAGATTCTTGAAATTTGAAATTTGGCAATTTGAGATTTTTGAAATTTGAAATTTTGCAGTTTGAATTTTTTTTTAAAATTTTGCAGTTTGAGATTCTTGAAATTTGAAATTTTACAATTTGAAATTTTTGAAATTTTACAATTTGAAATTTGAAATTTTTGAAATTTGAAATTTTGCAGTTTGAAATTTTTTAAAAATTTGCAGTATGAGATTTTTGAAATTTGAAATTTTGTAATTTGAGATTTTGAAATTTGAAATTTTTGCAATTTGAGATTTTTGAAATTGAATCTGAATAGGAATTTGAAATTTGAATTTGAAATTTGGGATTAGAAATTTGAATTTGAAATTTGTTTGAATTTGAATTTGAAATTTGAAATTTGTTGCAATTTGAATTTGAAATTTGAAATCTGGAATATGAGTGCATTTGAATTTGAAAGCTACCTTAATAAGAAGACTGCAATTGAGGGAAACTACTGCATTTCATTCCATTATCTCTATAATCATTTTATTCCCCTATCTTTCTCTCTCTTCATTTGGCTTAGGTATCCTAGATATTGCCTCCTTAATATGATGTTCTTCTCTATGACACTTTGTAATGCATTATCTTCTTTACCTTGATTTATGTACTAATATGTACAAATTTGTTCTCAGTTTCTATTGCAATATTTTTCATAATTATCAATGAAACAGGAAGATATTTTGATGATATTAATCTGTGTGAAACAGGGGGAGATTTGTTTCTCTTATAATATTTTTCATAATTATCAATGAAACAGGGAGATATTTTGATGATATTAATCTGTGTGAAATAGGGGGAGATTTTTTTTCTCTTATAATATTTTTTATGATTATCAATGAAATAGGGGGAGATTTTTTGACGAATTAAAATTTGTGTGAAATTCTTTCCTATCTCTAAATTAAACAAGGGGAGTTAAGCGAAATTTTTGCTCATATGAGTTAGGGGGAGTCTTGTTATTAATATATTCAGGCAGAGATTAAGAGACTCTGACACTTGATACAAATATGTGCTAATCTTGAGCTGACTATATAGAGTCAAGCATTTTAATTTATTTCAGGGGTTTTCTTGATCATCATCAAAAAGGGGGAGATTGAAAGTAATGAGGGGAAGATTGATGGAAATGTCCCTACATTCCCAAGAGATGATTTTGATGATGATTCAAGTCAACATAATTCAAGATGAATTAAGGACAAGCTAAATTTATGACGTTGGTGAAAATGTGAAACATTTTCCTACATGCCTAAGATATGTTTTTGATAAAGATGATGATTCAAGTAAGTACAAGATGATTCCTGAAGACTAGATAAAGTCTTAGAATACTAGATATGGAGGTACAAATTGATAAAGTAATATTATGCATAAGCCTCCAAAGCACAAGTGTGATCAAATTCATAACATCATATTTTTCTCTGTCATAATTAATTATGATGCATCTTTCTCTATCATAATTAATTATACTGGTAATATAATCAATTATGACAATTCAAATTTGAAAAATATATCCGTTTTAAAGAATAAATGTTTTTTAATACATCCTGATTTTCTCTATGATATATTATTATTGTCCAACGACCATTTTCTGATGTTATTTTTCTATTTAATTAAGTTTTGATGAAAAATCAAAAACACACAATTACAGAATTCAAAAATACAATTTACATTCAATCAGTTTTGAGAAAAGAATTATGAGCAAGGCAACAGAGATATTTTTACACCTTTTGAGAAAACCCTCTTCTCTAATGCCTTATGTGTTTTCATTATTAATCACACTTGTTCTTGGAGATTGGCATTCTACAGACTTCTACAATTTGTTGTCTCCATTAACCAGGTGTGTCTGTTGTTATTTTTATTACCTTCATCCTTTGATTTGTTCAAAGGAGGTTTTCATCCCTAGTGTGATTCTAGGGAGGTGTTCATCCTTAGTGGGATTCTAAGGAGGTGTTTTTTTATCCTTTGATTTGTTCAAAGGAGGTGTTCATCCCTAGTGGGATTCTAGGGAGGTGTTCATCCTTAGTGGGTTTCTAAGGAGGTGATTGTCTTTTTAATTAGTTTACTTTTTACTGGTTCTTCTGCTGAGTTGATTGTAATTTGTAAACTGAATTTGAAAGATAGTGAATGGGGAGTCACTATTGTATTAAGAGTTGACTGGGAACTGGATGTAGGGCTGGCTATACCCGAACCAATATAAATCTCTGTGCGCTATTCTCTTTCCCTTATCTCTTTCTTTTTTCCTGATTATATTATTGCTTCCGCTTTATCTGTGTTCAAACAAATTATTGACTCACAAATAAATTTTTAATTTAATATTTATTTTAATTTGTGTATCTATTCACCCTCTCTAAATGTCATTTATCTAACATGATGCATCTTATATCAGACTTGATATCAAGGTAACAATCACTACATGACTTGTTGAAGACGCCACCTTGAATTTAGCATATTTGATGCTCACAAACACTTTAACGATAATAGCACTAGCAAAAATAACAATAACATTCAGTAACATTAATATATATCATATACAGTATTTATTTGAAAAAAAATAGTTGTAATATTGGAAATATTACATTGTTAATTTTTAATTAAATTAAATATTAAAATATTTTTTTTATGTTTAAAATCAATAATAGATTTAATAATATTAAATTTATTTTAATTTAGATAATTATAATTAAAGTATGGTTAATATTTTATATTTTATCTTATTTTTATTCTTTATATATATATATATATATATATATATATATAAAGTATATAAATAAAAATATATCTATATCTTATAACTGCTCGTTCGTTCGGGATGGAGACAATGAAAACAATAAGAGCTTGCTCGCCGCGAAGAAAAACAGAAACAACAAGAACTTGCTCGCAATGGAGACGACGGAAGCAAGAAAAGCTTGCTTGCTACGAAGACCGCAACAACTTCCTCACACGCTTGCGGCAGAGATGATGGCTGGACAACAAAAAGAAGAGAGAACAGTGCTGCCAAGGAAAAAATAAAAGGCACTGCAAAATATTAATAATTTGAATTTTTAACTATTTTTTATTAGAATAAAAATATAAATAATTAAATATAGTTTAATTATTTAATATATCTTTTCATTATGTTCAAATTACTAAAATATTTTTTAAATAATTAAAATATTAGTACTTAATAAAATAATTTTTCACTTAAATTAAAAAAAACTCATATCATTTAAATTGAATTATTATTTAACTAAATAATTTAATATAACTTTTAAAATTAAATAAATAAAATAATCTTCTATTAAATAAACAGTTTAAATTTAAATATTCTATTTTATTTCACTATTTTTTTAAATCTATGAAATCATTTTCTGTAATTTTTTCATTCACTTATTTAAACATTATTAAATATTTACTGTGAATTTGTATTAAAAATTTGTAATAAAAATTTTCAATTTCTACTATTTTTCTTACAATTTTAAAAAAAAATTATATATTTGTCATAAATTTTATTATAAATAAATTTTTAAAATAAATTCTAACTATTTTTTATAAATATTTTTAAAAAATGATAAATTTTTTATAATTTTTCTATTGAAAAATTTGTAAATATTTATTATGAATAATTAAAAAATAACTATTGAAAATATTACTTTATTATCTTTTATTTAAATTAAATATTAAAATATTTTTATTGTCTTTGAAGAGAAGAAGACAAAAAAAATATTAGATTATTATTTGATTTACACAATTATGTTTGAGATATTATTAATATTTGATATTTTATCATATTTTTACTCTATATATAAATAGAGTACATAAATAAAATATATATTCATATGATATGAATTTTCATATATCATAAAGAAGAAAGAAGTTTTGGTTCTTATGAGAAAATTGTAGGAGAAAGAAGTTTTTCACAAGTAATTATTCCACCAGAAGTTATGACTTATACCTTGTGAGGATATAATCTTATATTGAAGTATTGAATTTATGAGAAGTTGTGGAAAAAAATTACATCATTGATCCACTTCCTAAAAATCCCACCATAGCCCAAATCAAAATCTACAAGGAAAAAAAAAATAAAAATAAAAAAATGAGAAAGATACAAGTGTTTATTTACGAATATTTCACAAATGATTTTTATTGGAATCATAACCCTAAAGTCATCTAAAAAAATTTGATATTATTTTCAAGAGAATATGAAATACCCACAAAAAGTGACAAATAAGTTTTGAAAGACAACCCCAACCATCAATCAAGCTAACATCATTGTTAGGAAATAAGATTCTGAAAAGTAATAATTAATTGAGAAAAAATTGCTAATGACAACAATTACTCAATAAATAATTGCTAAAGACAAAAAAATGTTACAACAAATGAGTCTCTGAGAAAAATAAGATCGAAGAGATCTTGAAAGTCAAAGACGAAACTCTTAAACAAACGTATCTTCACATTACATTTTATGGAGAAAAGAATAAAACAAATTTTTGTAGAGAAAATATCAATGGAAGAAAAAACATTTTTTTATGGAGAAAAGATCAATGGAAGAAAAATAAAGCAAATTTCAACCTGTTATGGATTAAATGGAAGACTTTTAATGCAGGAAAGGATAAGAAATATCATGAGGAAAAAAAATTTGTTTTTTGCAAGTAATTGCATAGGAACAACATCACCATAAAACAACAAAATTGCAAAATTGAATAACATGATGATCTTATACAAGAAAGAGAATGACAATAATTAGAAGAAAAAAGAAGAAGAAGAAAACATAAATAGAAATACAGAATATCAAATTCAAGTTAAGAATATTATTTTATTATTTTTATTTATTAGTTATTAAGAAGTCTTTATTATCTTTAAAAAGAAGAAGATAAAAAGTATTAAGTTATTATTTGATTTAGACAATCATAAGACATATTATTAATATTTAATATTTTTACTCTATCTATAAATGTAGTACATAAATAAAATATGTATCTATATAACATATATTTTTATCCTTTGTTGTTCTTGGCATAGAGAAAACCTTCACCATGATATAGTAAAGAACCTTCATCAACAACATGATCTCCTTTCATCAATTTTCGTTGCTCTTGCGCTTGTAAAACATGTAACACTTCTGACAATTTTATTTTGTTAGCAATACCCAACAATTTGTTTGAGTATTCATTAATTGTTCCAGACTCTTGCATCCTTTGCATTTTAATTTCCTTTATCAAGTTTAAAACTTTCATACATTGAATTTTCTCGTCCCCGTCATATTGATCTTTCAAATAATCTCAAATTTCTTTGGGTGATTTTAGCGCCATGATTATGGTGAGGATCATTTGTGAAATACCAGTAAACAAACATAATTTAGTTTTTGTCTTCCTTGTTTTTCTTTCTCTGCGAAATTTTATTTGAGTTATGGTGGGATTTTCAGGTAGCGGATCAATGATGTAATCCTCTTCCACAGCTTCCCATACATCCAATCTTTCAAGATAATATTGCATTCTAACAGTCCAAAAAATTGGAATAATGACTTGTGAAAAGTTTTTTTCTCATTCTATTATCCACAACTTCTCATACATCCAATCTTTCAAGATAGGATTGCATTCTTGCATCCCATAACTCATAATTTTCGCCATCAAAAATTGGAATAGAGACTTGTGAAAAGTTTCTTTCTCCTTTCTTTGTCTCGAACCAAAACTCTAATACCACGGATAAAAATTTTTGGGGTTTTGTGCATGTGTATTTTTTATATATCATATGCATATATTTTTTATTCATGTACTATATGTATATATAGAATAAAAATATTAAAAAATATCAAATATTAATAATATCTCAATCATAACTGCCTAAATCAAAATAATAACCTAATATCTTTTTACTTTCTCTCTTAAAAAATAATAAAATCTCTTAATACCTAATTTAAATAAAAAACAATAAAAAATAATATTCTCAACATAAATATAGCACATAAATAAAATATATATCTATATAACATATATTTTTATATATTAAAAAAACACATATTTTTATATATTATTATAACATGAATTTATAATAGTCTCACAGACTAAAATAACCAAAATTAAAGTTAAATATAGCACATAAATAAAATATATATCTATGTAACATATATTTTTATATATTAAAAATACATATATATTTTTATATATTATTATAACATGAATTTATAATAGTCTCACAAACTAAAATAACCAAAATTAAAGTTAAAAGTGTAAAAGATGTCAAATAGTTGTTACGGAAAACAATTTTTCCATGTACTTTACAGTGAAATTTTTTATATTTTGATAACTAAGAAACAGATGACTCGTCCAAATAACATACTTTTATTAATATAATAATTATAAAATAATTTAATAAAAAACAAAATAAATTAAAATTATTATTTAATATTAAAAGAGGGTTGTTTTTTTTAGAGTTGTATAGATTTTGGTGTTAAAATATCATTTGTGATTTTTGTATTAATTTATAAAATTCATAGGAAATTCGCAAGAAGTTCATTTAGTTCACAATTTATAGAAAAGCTATAGGAGTATAATTCGTAAGCCATATGAAAAATGACTAGAAAAGGTACAAGTTGTAAAAGACAAATTATCTGATATCTTTTCAACGTATTATTTTGTTTTTCTTTTACCCACTTGATGGTCTTGGCCAAGCTTCTTAGCCTAGCAGCAAGGAGAGGAGAGCATCGTGGAGGAGGCACCAGTAATAAGAAAAACCAGAATTTATATATTAGAAGATGAAGAACGGTGTGAAGAAAACAAGAAAAGAAACAGAAAAGAGAAGTAAGAAGTGGGAGGAGCAGGGAGAGGGGGCAGAGAAAATTGGAGAAACCGCATCCTTGGATGAACCTACTTTGGAGCAAAAATGATCTGAATGGCTTGCAAAAATAAAGCATGATTCACTATATATAACGTGCAGATCTGGAAGTGAATAAATATTTGATTAATGTTACTTTAATAATAATATGGCTACACCTTTTCCTTTTCTTGATAGTGGTGAATTTGTCAGAAGTTGTTTCCAGGAACTCATTGTCACTTTTTCATTTCTTAGATATTTCGGGGACAAACAAGGTAACTTTGGAAACTAAAATATTCCTCTTCTGCTTTGTGATCAAAAGTGGAAAATAAATTAGGACATGTTTCAAAGACTATAATAATATCAAACAGAAGTTGGCCATGCCAGAGGGAAAGCAACGCACAGAAAGAAAGGATCCACAGGTTGAAAGGTGAAAGAGCACGTGTGCATAATGAAAGTTGATTCCATTTTCACTCATGCTTGTTCAAAGTCTTTCCTAGTTATTTTACTTCATAATCAAGTATCAGTAAAAAACAACAATTATATGCTGATTAAAAATATTAGCTCAACTTCATTTACTTTCCAACTTTATTTGATGTACAAGCTTTACTTTTAAAATTATATATCCTTCACACTCATAAGTTTTTATGTGTTTTCTTCCTTAATTGATGATTAAGGGAACTCCTGATAATTGATAGAAGAGATGAAACAAATATTTAATTTCCAACCCTTTCTATTTTCATTCCTTCGAAAGACGATGTATAGTCATGCAAATCCAAATTAATTACAATTAGAGGGTCCTCCTGATTTGTAGGCAAAAGGATTTATCAATTCTAATAACTAAACTATTCTATGCAAAGAAATAGCGTGACTTGACACTTTTAGAAACATGTTGACATAGTGAGTTTTATGGGATGTAATCCTAAGGACCATTTTGGTTCGGGGATTTGTTGAGTTGTCCATGCGAGTAGCCAAAATTACCAAGGGGCGAATTATTGGCTGGTGGTTGAAAGCCTCCAAAGGAAATGGAGTGAGATCCGGGGTAGGGTCATGATGACGTTTCAATAATGAACAGTGAAAGACAAGTGAATTTTGGACTCAGGTGGTAAATCCAATTGATAAGCAATCATACGAATTCGGACAAGTATTTTGTAAGGTCCATAAAACCTCTTGGAAAGTTTGTGATAAGTGAAACCAGAGAGGAACCATTACCGATATGA